ATGGTGTTTGTAAATAGGATCACAAGTCCGCATCTTGTACAGCAATTAACCACTAAGAAGAATATATGCAGTGTATTATTTGTTGAAACTACTTCCGATTTGATTTGAAACTGTCTCATTGCTATATGTTTATCAATAAAACTGTAGAAAAAAAATAAAATAAAATAATGATATGGTATGTTATGGTATGGTATGGCATGACTTGATAGACTAGGTTATGGGTTTATGTGGTGTACTGTGGTGCTCCATTGTGGTGTTGTGGTGTGGAATGTTGTGATATGTGAGAAATCATGGTCACAGTCTTTTCAAGACTGTGTTGCTCCATTGGGTCAGCGACCTTGTGGTTTTGGAGTAACTTTGAGTGTTCTGAAGGAACACCACTTTTTTTTTTTAAATTATTTATTTATTTATTACATTTATTTAGTGTGTGTGTGTGTGTGTGTGTGGCCAGCTCAGCCCACCAGGGGGCGGGGCTGGCTGGCATGTGGTGCTGGGGGATCGAACCGCAGTCCCTGTGCTCTACCAAGCCTGTTTCAAGTAGGTGCCCTAGACCACTAAGCCATCTCTCCAGCCCCAGGAACACCACTTTAATGACTTCCTTGGAAATGTTGGCCACACCATTTATAAGAAAGCAAGTCTTCTGTGTCACCCTGTAGCTGGTTGGTAGACTAATTTGGCAGCCATTGTGTTATATATCATAACTATAAAAGTACAGGCTCATGCAGCACCTACCTTTCACCTATCCATCTCACCCATCCCATAAACAATAAGAGGCAGGCATCAAATTGAGTATAAATCTTACCTATTATTTTCCAGTTTTAAGAGCAATTAGTACTTTAAAATTTCATCTATAAAACAAATCATAACTCACATGCTAGCTCTGATGGAGGAGAAAGGGTCTTACAATATACCTTAGAATGCTGAGGTTTGTGGATTTACAAGGATGATCAGCCTCAAATACTGCACCAATGTTCTCTGAGAATTTCCATGAATGGCTAAATTTTGCCGAGGGTTTAGGTTCTGGAGCTATAATAATTTGTGCTATGTGCATATTTTTGTAATACAGTGTTTCTTATATGATACATTCAGGAACTCAGGATAGAACAGGTTCACTAATGATTTCTTGGTCTTAGCTCTCTTCCTTTAATATAGTCACTCTTCATGAAAAAAAAAAAGTTGTCATTGAGCATTATTAATTCTATAATTAGTTTCTCTGGACAACCAGAATTTTGTTTTGGCTTGATGGGTAGTGGTTAAAAAACTCTAAATGTTTCATGAGCAAATCTACCAAGTCTTTTGAATAACTCCCTTAGAGGGAGAAGAGTTGTTAGGAAAATGACATTGATATCTATGATGGAAGACTGTGGCACAGAATGGCAGTGTGATTTATTGGAAGCTGCTGAGATTGAGAGGGAAAGGAAAGGAAAGGGGAGACAAATAGAGAGAAGGGAATAACAGGGAAAGGTGAAAAAGAAAAAAAATAGGGAAGGGACAGAGAGAAAAAAAAAAGAAAAAGAAAAAAAAGATTTAACTTCTGTTTTTGTTGTTTTGAGTTTTGCTTTTCTGAAACAGGGTCTCACTTTGTAATTCTGGCCTGTCTTGAACAGATTATGTAGCCCAGGCTGGCCTCAAAATCACAGCAATCCAACCCTAGCCTCCTGAGTACTGGGGTTACAAGCCTGTGCCACTCTACCTGGCTAGATTTAACACTCCGTCTGCCCTCTTGTTCCCACTGCTATCACCAAATTCAGATAAGAGGAGTTATACTCAACTCTTAAAGAGCGATAGCCTTCCTAGTGGTCCTTCTGGCTCTCTCTTTGCCTCCTTCAAACCCAAGAGAGTGGTGATATCCAATCACCATGCTGGTAAAGTCTGTTCCCTACTTCCATTTCTCATCTTTGACCATCCAAGAGCCAAATATGATCAGCATCATCATTAACATTAAGCAGCAGAGTAAGAGGTGATATAACCTCTGATTGCCTTGGCGCCTGCAGCTGTGGCTCCCGGTGGACACCTCCAACCCTCCACATCTATAGTTGTAGGGACTTGATATTCTGCCAGTGGTTGGACACGGTAGGATGCTACCTCTATGGAAGAGAGCTGAAGAGGGAATGACATATGCTTATGTTTGTTCTTCCTGGTTGTCCAAAAGACCTATAATCAGATAAATGTTCTGCATCACCACTTATGGTTGAAATTTCAAGTACATTTATACCTAAAAAGGAAGTATGCAAGGGCCAGCTAGATGCTCTTCCAGAAACATTTAAAGTAAACAAATTATGTCTACATGTTTGTAGATGGATTTATCATCATGGCTTTTCTAATGGTGTTTGCTATATTAGAATACATGCTGCTCCAACTGCCCCAGAGGAGCCAGGTCTGCCTGACGGTGGCTGTGCCCTCTCCCAGCGGCCCACCCCCACCCCTCACATCACAGAACACTTCTGCTCTGCTGACTGCTTGATTTCCGTGAAGGTGGCCTGGGCCTTTTCTTTGATGGTATCCAAGTCCATGTTTTGGAGATTTTGTAACTGCCCAAGAATAGAATCCTTATCTTCTTCCTCCTCTTGATCTTCATCTACCATCTTCCGAAGATCTTCAGGTAAATCCACATCATCCCCAGCCAACTGGACTTGAGTCTCATCCATTTCACTCTATGGGAAGAATAAACACACACTAAATAAAGTGTAAAAGCTGCAGGAAAGGGGCCAGGGAGATGGCTCAGTGGAATAAGCGCTTCCCTGGCAAGTACAAGGACCTGAGTTCAATCCTTGGTTCTGAAAAAAAAAAAAAAAAAAAAAGCAAGCTGCAGGAAAATGATCTACTGAGAATAAATTAATGACAGTAATGCCACATACCATATCCTTGTCCTGCTGGCAGGCAGTGAGGACAGACTTCTGGGCTTGGAGAGGCTGACCAGACCCTTTTAACCTGCTGGTTCTGCAACTCCAGTCAAGTGGAAAAAAGGCATTAGCATCATCTAAAAGCCATTTAGAAATAAATTCTCTGGCCTGCCTTATACTTATGGGATCAGAAGCTTGGGTGCTTGGCCTCACAGGGCCTACGTGTTAAGAAGTCTTCTCTGCGCATCAAAGTTGGGACATTCACCCTGCTTCCCTCGCAGGGCATCTTTGAAAGTTTTTCAGAGCCTGCTGGTCCCATGCTGGCTGATCCCAGGGTCCTGACTGATCTACTCTAGGGAGTGGATTTGGCTTGGCAGTGACCAGACAGGACTTCATGATTTCATTCATCATGATTTCCTGGCAAGTTCTGCTTAACTATTGCCCTTTCTCTTTCTTGTGTGAACTCTTTTGGGACACGGCATCATATCAAACCCAAACTTACAACATCATGTCAAACCAGTTAGTGCCTGAACTGGGCCTGGCACACAGTACAGGTGTGTTAAGGGAAGCATGGGGACCAAGCTCCTGTTGTCACCTTGTGCTGTGCCACTATCACTAGGCTGCCCAACACATTTCATCTTGTGGCTTCAGCATGGCCCACCCCAGGGTTTTCTACTACATGCTTCCTGGTCTTTGGGATTCCTTGGTTAAGTAGACTATGAAGCCCATGGTTTCCTTATAAGAGCACAGCATAAAGAAACACATCCTGTAGGAAGGGCCCTGGTAGCTAACATCTGCAGATGGCGGCTCTCAATTGTTGGAGATCAGGTTGCAATAGGAGGTGAACTGGGTTTCAGGAGTACAGAAGATAAAGGATGTCTGAAAAGATAATACAGAAGAATTAAAGTAAGGTGGGCCTTACTTTAGGGCCCACCTCGATAGCTTGTGATCACCCAAGCATTTGGTATGAAAGCTCATGAAATCATGTAGAGATCAAATGGTTATCTTAATCAGACCACTGACTTGATTTATGAAAGTCTGCAGCATCTGTTAAATTCCCAGATGGACTAAAAGCCAACACTCGGAAAAGACTAGAATGCCCCTTGCCTGGTAAGTAGAAATGACCAGAAAGAAACCTCAGTTTCCAGTCCCAAGTGGCAGCGCCCATCTGTACAGCAGGCTGGAGGGACCTGTTAGCCGAGAGCTTTTGCCCTTGTGGCTCCTTATTTTTCTATCTGATGGCTGGAAAGGTAGAGCCTGACAGCCTTTCCCAGCACTCTCCTTTATTAGATTCCCCAGAAGAGTCGCTCCAGAAGGAACTAGGGAGGCAGCTGCCTGGTGCAGAGAAGATAAAGGCCCTAGGGTGACAATCCTTGCAGGGGCCATCCCTGAAGACTTTAGGAGATGAGTGTATTTTTTCCCTGAATGTGGCTGAGGCCTTGAACCCTCCAAGTGCTTAACGGATTAATTAGTTCCTCATCCAACTGTTGTGGGATTAATTAGTTAGTTAATCTCCAGGGGACCCTGGCCAATCTTGCATTTCTGTTTATTTTTATTTATCCACCCTGGTGGCTGCTTTTATAGCTGATCATCTGGTGGACATTTTTGCAGGAGGGGTGGGAATAGCAGACTTTACTGGGTCCTTGCTCAGTTTGTGCAAATGAAGATATCCGCCCTCTCAGATGCATCCCCAAATCAAGTACAGTGGTTTGAAAACACCCTCCTGGAAGTCCCAGCACTTCCCCCCTTGTTGGTGGTGAGATCCTTGGGCGTGTCACCGAGATTGACCCTGGACATACTAATGGTTGTGGGCCTGAAGGTTCAGGCAGCTGGAAGGCCAGTGAAAGCGCTAGCCTTCTTTGCTCATAAGGGATGGGGCTCTTCTGTCTCCCACTTCAAAGGAGAATTAGCAATTGCCCTTGAGCACCCTGCTCCCTCCAGAGAAGCTTTAGAATGCTTTCTTCCTTGAAGGAGGGACTTCGGGCTTTATTTTGCTGCACCTACCCTGAGGGAGTGCCAGAAGAGAGGAAGAGTGGCTTGCTCCTCCCTGCTTTTGCTCTGGTTGCTTTTGCTGTCTTTTGCCACCTTGCCTCTCTGCCACGCCACCCTCCCTTGGAGCCTGCAGGTTATGGATTGAAACCTCTATAAATTGTGAGCTAAATTAACTTTCCTTCCTTAATTTTGTGCATCAGGTATTTTGTCTCAGCAATGAGAGAAAAGTAACCAAGATGCCTTCCTTAAAGTGCCTTGTTGGGCTGGTGATGTAGTTCAGTGGCACAGCGCCTATCTGGCAAGTGCAAGATCATGAGTTCAGTCTTTCTCTCTGCCTCACTGGTGCAGCGCTGTCTAGCACTTAGGGCATTGGCTTGAGTCACATTACCTGAGTGAGAACATTGACTCTTCTATTTACAGGCTGTGAGACCTGAGGTACCTTACCCAACCTCTCTGAACATTATTTATCTATAATTGGGAGCTGTATTATAAGCCTTACAATGGTGGAAAATCAATGAAATGATAATTGAGTTATTTAGAATCTGTTAAGCATTCAGCGGGTGGTAGCTATCCATAAAACAAGGATCCTCAGAGATGAGTGGGGACCTGGCTCTGGATAACCCTGCTGGTGAGGGTTAGACCTACTAGGAGGACTTGCTCTCTGTGCTCCCCACCTCTGGTCTAGGGGTGACTACTCTTCACCCCACAGGCCCAGTTTTCCTAACAAAGCAAACATTCTTTTTCCTTTTGGCACTTGGCCATAGTTGTAGAGGAAAGCAAGCCAGCTAACCCGGCCCTCATTCCTCCGGGCAGGCTTGCTGTCATCTCTGAGGGCTGTGGAGTGTGAGTGCTGACAGAGGCCCCTGGTTTGAGGCTTGGCCTGCAGATCCCCCAGTCCCTGGATCCATCCTTTCCTGGGAAGGGCTCTGGGGACCTGGTCTGTGGGCTCCACCCCATTGCTTCCGTCAGCAACTCGGGGCACTCTCAGGACCACAGACCCCCACAACAACAGGCATGGGGAACAATTAGAACACATGGGGTCCTGAGTAGTCAGAGTGAAGGGAGCTGCGGGTATGTCTTGGGGTCTGCAGACTCCTCCCTTGAGGTGAGGAGTCCAGGTCCCTGGGGAAAGGAGTCCTGGCTATAGAGTGCCTGCAGAGTGAGCCAGAGGGTAGGAGAGCACAGGCCCCAAAGAGATAGGAGGGACAGACCAAGCAATTAAGACGCATCACTGGGGCTGATTGGTGGACACTGCAGCCTTGAGGAGGGACAGGAGGAACCTTCAGAGTGCAGCCCAGAGCAGGTAGCCCCAGGTGTCCAGATCTAAAGGCAGCACCAGGTGAGGTCAGCAGCTGTGGTTAGTGTTGCACTCACCCTGGTACTAGAGTAGCAGTGCCACTCACCCTCCTTCACAGCACAGCTGCTTTAGGCACGTGGTCATTGCAGTTCTGGGAGCAGCTGCCCCAGGCTGCATCTGTGCTCTGGGGCTGGAACAACACACAGGGGCCAGTAAGCAGCTAGAGGACAAACTGAAGCCCCTGGAACTAAAGTTAGACCTCTGGTCTCATTAATACTTGGTCCTCACCAAATGAGCTGGCCTGGGGCCTTGGATTGGTGAGCAGGTCTCATTTGTAAAATCTGTATCCAGCAAGGTGGCCAAGAATGGGCCACACTGTGGGACTTCCAGTCAGGAGACCTGGGTTCAAGTCTCACATCTGTCATTCAGTCCTTGTGTGACCTTGGACACATTACCGCCCATGTCTGATGCCCAGTGCAAGATCCACGCAGAGGATTAGTGAGCAGGTCAAGCAGGACCTGCTGAGAAGCAGCCTCCTAAGCTGCTGGCCCTGACAAAATGTGGCTGTGTTTATTAATATTTCAGAGGGAAGCATGCAGCTCTGTGTCCAGGTCCCTAGGGAAAGGAGTCCTGGCTACAGAGTGCCCGGAGAGTGAGCCAGAGGGTAGGAGAGCACAGGCCCCAAAGAGACAGGAGGGACAGAGCAAGCAATTAAGAAGCACCACTGGGGCTGATCAGTGGACACTGCAGCCTTGTTTCCGCCCTTCCTAATGAACCGCCCTGCAGACAGGACCTTGTCTTCCATTCAAACAAAGACTGTCTTGTCCAGACTGTCTGCTGTCCACTGACAAATCTTAGCTTGCAGTGGGGGCAGGAATATTTTGGCGTAATTCACACTTCAAGGAAAGGCAGCAATGCTTCATTACAGTCCCCCAAGACAAGTGCAGTCATAGCCAATGTGAATCAGCATCGCTGTGGGCCAGAGGCACTCTGGGGTGTAGGCTGCCGAAGACAAGAGACCAAACAAATGGGTGAGCCAGAGACTGGACCCAGCATGTGATTACGGACTTTGTGTACAGGTCCCTAATCATATGCACTTTTTTCTTGGAGGCTGTGTCTCAGAGATCTCTCTTCTAGAAATCTTATCAACTTGGGATATTGTTCAACACAGTTACGAGCTAATTATATTTATGCCTTCTGGCCAGAATCCATCTTAATCTCTTATTTTTAACTAAACTTATTATCTTTATTAACAGGGCTTACTGCCTCATTATTTAAATAGCCCAATATCTTGCTATTGTCATTCTTTGCGCATGACACCATCCCTGGTCTCAGACTTGCTACTTGTGGGGGCTTGTTATGCTGACCTCCATCTCAGATTAAACCTGAGCTATGGTGATAAACTGTCTCCGTACATTCACTGCTTTTAGCGTGGTCAGTTTGGTATATACATAAATACCAGTTTGACTGATACTTGGTAGAACTGCTTTTGGTTCCGGTGCATTTGATTGTTTTGGTCTAC